GGGACTGCAGGCACATGCCACCACCATGCCTGGGTAATTTTTTTTTTTGTAGAGACGGGGTTTCTCCATGATGGTCAGGCTGGTCTCAAACTCCTGACCTCATGTGGTCTGCCTTCATCAGCCTCCCAAGGTGCTGGGATTACAGGCGTGAGCCACCGTGCCCGGCCTGGCAAGGAACTTCGAGGAGTGGGTAGGGAGCACGCCGAGGTGGAGTAGTTTTCAGATGTTTCCATCCGTCCTATATAGTGATTCCCTTAAATTGTGGCTCAGGCTACTGGTTTTTGAAGCATTCCTTAAAGTCATCTTGACTTTAGTTTAGGCTTGTAGTTGAATCCTCTCATAAGAAACAAATCTGAGACTTTATTTCTCTAGCTTCTGGCAACACCTGCTGTCTTCCTGAAAGGTAGCACCCGGGGACTTGGGGCAGGAGCCTAGTAATGTGAATGCCTGGGCTGGGAGGGCAAGTTGGCCTCGCCCTTTGCCACTTTGACCACCTCCCTTTTCTGTGTCTTGAGTTTGTTCTGTTTTGCTTCCATTTACAAAGTAGTAATAATTAAGTTTCAGTGTCCAGCACTGTCTGGGCCATAGTATGTGCTCAGTAAATTATATGCCTAGTGTTCCATTATTGGAACGCTAAGTATGTGGGAGTTATTTATATCCTGCTGCTCAAGATCATTGCCAAGGTCTGCTTTTTCAAGTCTGCAGGTCAGAAAGTTGTACCCTCCGGCATAAATGGGTCACTGTTACTCACATTCTCCCAGAATGTGCCGGCTTCTGAGGGGACACTGTACCAAGGAAGAAAGGGCAGAGTGTCCTGAGAGCCTGGCAGCAGTCAGGGTCATTATGTGCTGGGGCCATGGCATTTGGTGAAAAGGACTCATTCCCAGGCCTGACCCAGCAGAATCACCTGTGGATGTGGTTTCTTAGGAGACTCCTGGCTCTTCTCTTTGGGGATTGTTATTCCTCAGTAGCCAGATAGGACAGTTTGCTTCACAGTAATGGGGCTGGAGTGAGAATCTGATCCGATGCTTGTCAGTTCCTGGGTTTCTTTTAGAGACACAGGGCACACGGGAAAGCAGGCCTTAGGTAAGCTTGGCTCTCCTGGCTCTCATTCGTAGCCTTGGGGCTGCTAGGTCTCAGGTTTTCCTGTGGACTGTAGTTGCAGTCTGTGTCCAGTGGGTGGCAGTGTGGCTCTGCTAATGGCGGGAGCTCAGAACCTGGGGGCATCAGCTGCATCTCCAGGGAGGCGCTTTTGGGCTGTTACTGTTTGGATCACCTTGCATCTGGGAGCTATGGGGCCCTCGTGGCTTCTGTAGGTCTGAAATGGTAGTTGGGCCTGCTACATCCTGTCAGCTTGAAGTCAGCCTTACCTCCTCCCCTCAGCAGCCTGGATTCTCATCTCTCAGCCACTCTGATAAAGGCTACTGTGCCTTAGAGAAACAGGTTCAGAGAGGGACATGCTCAAAGTCACCAGGTCACCACCGTGTTCCTCCAGTTAGGGGCCTCTCCCAGTGCCTTCTTTTTCTTTTTGGCCTCTGCCCATCTGTATTTGTTTTGCTACCTGAGACCGTGGACATCTTCAGCTTACAAAATTCCTTTCGTCCTACACAGGGGACCCCCACAATGATCCCAATGCTCAGGGGGATGCCTTCAAGACTCTCTTTGTGGCGAGAGTGGTAAGTCCCCAGCTCCCAGCCCCTGGAACCCCAGACTGCTGAGCACCTGGGTCTGGGACAAAGGGCAAATAGGCTAGGTCCCAGGGAATGTTCCAGGGGTATCTCCCTTTTCCCATTTAACGTCATCTCCATCTCCTTGTAGAACTATGACACAACAGAATCCAAGCTCCGGAGAGAGTTTGAGGTGTATGGACCCATCAAAAGAGTAAGTGAAGTGGGTCAGGGTGTTTGAATGGGGGGGGTGCGTGGAGGAGGGCTGTAGCCTGAAAGGGAGGGGGCGAGGTCCCAGCCCTGAGCCAGGCGCGCAGCATTTCAGGGCCTGGGATGAAGCATCCTGAGTGAATCTCCATGCAGCAGGCCTTGGGGAGCAGGAGTCAGATGAGAAGTAATGACTGTAGTGACTGCTGGTGCCTGGTTTAGAGCAGGGGCTGGCAAACTACAGACTTACTGCTTGTAAATAAAGTCTTATTGGCTCAGCTGGGCAGCTGTTTGTTCATACATTGTCTTTGGCTGCCCTTTTTTTTTTTGAGACAGAGTCTAGCTCTGTTGCCCAGGCTGGGGTGCAGTGGCGCAATCTTGGCTCACTGCAGCCTCCACCTCTCGAATTCAAGTGATTCTCCTGCCTCAGCTTTCTGAGTAGCTGGGATTACAGGTGCCCACTACCACGTGCAGCTAATTTTTGTATTTTTAGTAGAGATGGGGTTTCACTGTGTTGGCCAGGCTGGTGTTGAACTCCTGACCTTGTGATCCACGGGCCTTGGCCTCCCAAAGTGCTGGGATTACAAGCATCAGCCACCACGCCCAGCCTGGCTGCTACTGTTGTAAGGCAGGTTTGGGTTGTTACAACAGAATATAAGGCTGTCAACGCTGGAAATAATCTACTGTCTAGGTCTTTGCAGAATATGTATCTGATTCTTGTTTTAGAGGAAGACTTTGTTACTGATTTCTTTTGAGCTACTTAAGTGCTCTCTGCCTGATTTTCTTTATCTAAAGTGGGAGACAAATGTCTTCACTGGGCAGTAGTAAGAATCTGAGGCCATCCAGCACAAAAACTGACATTAGCTGTGTCTGTTCTCCTCCTTCCTCTATTTCTTTTTTTTTTTTTTTTTTTTGAGATGGAGTTTCACTCATGTTACCCAGGCTGGAGTGCAATGGCGCGATCTCGGCTTACCGCAACCTCTGCCTCCTGGGTTCAGGCAATTCTCCTGCCTCAGCCTCCTGAGTAGCCGGGATTACAGGCACGCACCACCATGCCCAGCTAATTTTTTGTATTTTTAGTAGAGACGGGGTTTCACCATGTTGACCAGGATGGTCTCGATCTCTTGACCTCGTGATCCACCCGCCTCGGCCTCCCAAAGTGCTGGGATTACAGGCTTGAGCCACCGCACCCGGCCCTTCCTCTATTTCTGATACATTTTTAAACAATATTTATGTCACCGCTGGGTGCGGTGACTCATGCCTGTAATCCCAGCACTCTGGGAGGCCGAGGTGGGTGGATCACTAGGCCAAGAGATCGAGGCCATCCTGGCTAACATGGCAAAACGCTGTCTCTACTAAAAATAAAAAAATTAGCCAGGCTTGGTGGCATGCTCTATAGTCCTAGCTAGTTGGGAGGCTGAGGCAGGAGAATCACTTGAACCCGGGCAGCAGAGGTTGCAGTGAGCCAAGATTGCGACACTGCATTCCAGCCTAGGTGACATGACAGAGTGAGACTCCATCTCAAAAAAATATGTGTGTGTGTGTGTGTGTGTGTGTGTGTGTGTGTGTTTATATGCGTCAGGCCGGGCACAATGACTCACTCTTGTAATCCCAGCTCTTCGAGAGGCAAAGGCAGGAGGATAGCTTAAGCCCAGGAATTGAAGACATGCCTGGGCAATATAGTGAGACCCCGTCCTCCACAAAAGGAGGAAAAAAAAAAAAAAAAAGTAGGCTGGGTGTGGTGGCTCATGCCCGTAATCCCAGCACTTCGGGAGGCTGAGACAGGCAGATCACCAGAGATCAGGAGTTCGAGACCAGCCTGGCCAACATGGTGAAACCCTGTCTCTACTAAAAATACAAAATGTTAGCCAAGTGTGGTGGCTTGTGCCTGTGTGTGTGTATATATACACACGTATATAAACACGGCACACGCGTCGTTATGCCCTGCACAGTCCAGTGACAACCTTGGCCCTGCCCTCATCCCTTTGATCCCATTCGAGTCAGGAATCTCAGTTGGGTTTTGGAGGCTGTGGGGTCCCAGGTTCAAGTCCTAGGACCAGGTGAGCTCATCCATGATGTGAGTTGGATTGGTTGACAACTGGTAGCCATCCTTTAGGGACCAGCTCAAATGCTGTCACCTCCCAGAAACCTTCCCTGCATCATTCTGGCCTCCTCTGTGTCAACAGCCCTGCCCTTCCCATTGTTCTCCCTGACGTGGTCCCAGGGGGGTCTTTCTGCCATCCAGAGCTGACCCTGTCTCCTCTGCACACAGCCTCCCATGGGTCCCTAGCACGTTAGGACAGGTCCAGGTGTGACTGCCTGGCCTTCTAGGGCCCTTCCTCAAGCTGTGTGGCCTTGTGGACCTCCATCTCACATCTCCCCTCCCCCTCCCTTGCTGCCATCCTCACATGGGACCCATCCTTAGTGTGCCACATTCTCTTAGGCCTCCCTGGCTGTGCACACGTCCTTTCTTTTTCTCTTAGAACTCCCCTGTCCCTGGCCGGGCGCAGTGGCTCACACCTGTAATCCCAGCACTTTGGGAGGCCGAGGCGGGCAGATCACGAGGTCAGGAGTTTGAGACCAGCTTGGCCAACATGGTGAAACCCCATCTCTACTAACAATATAAAAAATTAGCCAGGTGTGGTGGTGCACACCTGTAATCCCAGCTACCCGGGAGGCTGAGGCAGACACCTCACTGTCCCTTCATCCCTGTTCGGTCTTTAGGTCTTAGCTTAAGTGTCATTTTCTCCAGGAAGTCACCTCTGTGCCCTCTGCTCCTGCCATTAGATCATAAGTCACTTGGGGATCTTGAAGGACAGAGGGTCTGAGGCCTCGCCCGGCCCTGGGCCTGTTGTGCAGGCTGTTGTGGGGTGGTTGGGGCGGAGCTGCCCTGTGGCGGGACTCAGCCCTGTCCCCGCGCCCACAGATCCACATGGTGTACAGTAAGCGGTCGGGAAAGCCCCGCGGCTATGCCTTCATCGAGTATGAACACGAGCGGGACATGCACTGTGAGTACCACCCGCCGCAGCGCTGCCCTCTGACCCTCTCACTTCTCTGCTGCCCCAGCCCTTCCCAGTCTGTCCCCTCCCCACCCTGCCACACCTGACATTAGCGATGTCTCTTCTCCTCCTCCCTCTGTTTCTGATATATCTTTTTTTTTTTTATATACGTGTTTTTTAAAAAACAAAAACCAAATCCCCCACAACGTGTGTGTGTGTGAACCTGGGGAGGTAAGTGTCACACGTTGAACCTCAGGGGCAAAGAGGGAACTGGGTGGGGGGCCGGGGCCAGCCGGAGGTGGGGGGAGGGGTCGGATTTTGGGGGAGCCTCTCCCCATTATCCCCCCCACTGGAGTTGGGGGCGGCCAGGTTGCCAGTGAGGACTGGCCTTTGAACTTGCCCTCTCTTCCCCCCCAGTAGAACTGGGGCTGGGCCACCCAACCCTCCGCCTCCCCAGCTCTGGCCCCCCCACCCTGTTCCTCAGCGGGCAGTGGGGTGATAGGCATGTTGAGCGCCTGCCCCTGCAGTTCCAAAGCCCCCTTTGAGGCTGCCGCGGCGTCCACAGGGGCAGGGATGGGTGGGGGAGGGTGGGCAGGGCTGCGGCGTGTCCAGGGGCCGCCGTATTAATTGACTGTTCTTATTGTCACTGCAGCCACCACGCAGCTGGCTTGCAGCTGATGCTTACGCTCCCCTTACAACACCTCAGTGTATGGTTGGTATAAGGGTTTGTATCATGGGTAAGATCACTCAGCACCGCACACCAGCCCAGCTTAGCCAGGCAGCTCAGGAGCAGCGAGGCACCCCTCCTCCCGCCCCAGTTGCCCCCGCAGCCTCCCCGCACCCACAGCCCTTTCCTTGTTTGGGTGCCCTTTGTCCCTCCTGCCCCGATCCGTATGCTTTCTGAGAATCTTGCTGATCGAAGGAGGGGAAGGATGAACCCGGTGGGAAAGGCAGCAGCCTCTCCGCTTGGGCTCCACCCGGCCTCTAATGACCCGGCTTTGCGATGTCAGCGGTGAGGTGGCGGGAAAACCGAGGGCAGGGCACCAGGCCAGGGCTCCACTGGAACCCTTCCGCCTTCCCTCCCTGCCCCCGTGCTTTCTGTGGGGCTGCCACTGTGCTGGCCCTGGAGAATCTTTTTGGCTGCTAGTTTGGGGGTGCTCTGCCCCCTTCCTGTCTTCCTTACTGTGGTTGAAGCCTCCCAAGGGGGCTGGCTGTGGTGTCCAGCCGCTCTCCAGAGGTGGTCACGAGCTCCCCAAAGTGCATGGAATTGGGGCTTGGGGTGTGGGAGGGACCAAGGGGTAAGTTGCCAGCAGCTGAAGGTGTCGTAGGTTTTAACTAAAGAACCTTCCACTGTCTAGAGACTTCAGAGAGAGGGAAAGAGAGAGAGGCCTAGACGAACACAATCACATGTTTTCTTTGCTGTTCTTCCCGGGTTGGGCCTCTTGGGATTTGGGACTCTGAACCCAAGCGGGGTTCCTTCGCTTGACTTTGATCCTGGTCCTTAAATGCCTTTCCCCACTCCCCTCCTGTGGGTTCAGGGGCCAAGCGGCCCCTCCTCAGAGCACTGGCAGCACCATCTCCTGGACCCCTGCGTGCCAGCCTCTGCAGAGGCAGCTGGTGGGAGGGAGCATGGAGTTGGAGGTGGAGAAGCCACTCCTGGTCCTCTGGGTGGCGGGCTGTGTGCCTAGTTCAGTGTGACTTGGGGATTGCTAAGGGCGGACAGGTGTTTGAGGCCTCCCTGCCTTCTTTGGAAATTGACACACTATAGTCTAGGGCTTTCCAGCTCCCAGCTTGGGTGGCAATCCTCGTCTCCCCACTGTAAGGCCTCCTTGAGATTTCTTTGGGGTCCACCACTTCCTCTGCCTGTCTCCAGGTGGTACAGGAGATGTGGTTCCTCTTCCTCTCCTGGCTCCCTAGAATCCCCACTTCCCCTCCCTGTAGCTTTAGCTGACCCCATGGTGGTGGGTGTGGGGTCTGTGCGCGTGCTCAGGTAAGCTTGGGGGCTCCAGGTAAGCGGTCCCGTGTCCCCCCCCCGGGAAGCCCGCCTCCTCGCCAGGCCCCCAGGAGTTGCCGAGCCCCCCCCATCCCGCTCGGTTTGGACACCCGCAAGGCCGGCATCGGTAAATGGCACCTTTTTCTCTTCCTCTGGTTGTTATTTGGGGGGGAGCGGGCTGGGGTGGGGCAGGGTATTATGGTTGGTTGAGGACAGCCCCCCCTAGGCCAGGGCTGGGTGGGGGAACAGGGACTTTTTGGCCTTCCCGACATCCCCGTGTGATCACAGGCCAGTGCCTCAGGTTTGCCCTCTGCTGAGCCCTGCCCGAGAACAGCAGTGAGCCCCTCCCCCATCTCCCCTCTATGACTCCCGACTCCCCTTTCATGGCAGGCTCAGGCTGGGGTTTGCTCCCAGCACATGTTGAGCCAGGGTTGTGGAGAGCGAGATGGGGCGGGGCTGGGGGGAGGCAGGGTCAGTCGTCTCAGGTAAGGCAGGGATTCTCGGTAGCACCGCACGGCTCCCCATGCTTCCTCCACTGCCCCTCTCCCCGGCTGCAGGGGCCCCTCCAGGCCCCCTGGGAGTGTATAACCCGCCTCTCTGCTCCCTGCCATTTCCTGAAGATTTCTCCCACCCCCTTCTGGTTCATTTTCTGTTCTCATGTCTGTTCCCCCCACTCACCCCCCTCCAACAAAAACAAAACCGGTGTGGTCTGGGGTGCGGAGCGTCCCAGCTGGGCCTCCTGCCCTGGCATGGTGTCTCAGGGTGCATGCTTGGGGTTGTGGAGGAGCCCCCTCCCCCACAGCAGAGTCCAGCGTGGAGTTAACCTTCAGTTTCTTTGCAGCAATTTTGGCCGCCCTGGTGGGAGGGGGCTGCTCCATCGTGTGGGATAGGAAGGACCTGGGAGCCCAGAGGGTGGCGGGTGAGGGTGGACATCTCCCCCAGCCACGACTGGTTGGGGTGCTGAGAGGAAGCAGACACTGAGATGGAGCAGGCCCCTCGCCGGTTTGGGAGAGGGTTGGTCTGGCTGTCAGTTGCCTGGCTGTCTGGTGGGCGTGTGCGAGTGCGTGATGATGGGGACACAGGGTGGGGATGCTGTAGACCTGGGCCTGTCCTGACTAGAGGACCCTCTGGGGACTCTTCTCCCCTCCCTCTCCCCACATCTGTTACAGCCGCTTACAAACACGCAGACGGCAAGAAGATTGATGGCAGGAGGGTCCTTGTGGATGTGGAGAGGGGCCGGACCGTGAAGGGCTGGAGGCCCCGGCGGCTAGGTGAGCACATCCTGCCCACGCTGGGCTCTCGGGGTCCTCGGCCTAGTGGCCTTGTTCTCCTCCACTGCCTCCTGTTTCTCTGTCTCCTGCTGGCTCACCGCTCCTGTCTCCTCATCTCCAGCTTTCATGGCCATCACATTTCCTGCAGCCGCCTGCCTCCTCGTTGTAGGTTATTGTGAGGAGCAGGGGCACCAGCCTGGAGAGGCCTCAGCCTACATGCTGCTGTTCGCACTTGCTAGTTGGCGGGGTGGGGGGGGTCCCTCTTCTGTCTCATTGTTCTCCTCCTAGAGGAAATAACCCCGAGTTCACTCAGTTCAGTGTACTAGGTACCCAGCCTGGCAGTGACACATGCTGGGGTTGTAAATGTCACCTGCTCATCTGCTTCTGCTGCTTGCTCTTGCTCTTGTTCGCTCATTTACTGATTCAGCAAGTACGTATTTGATCGCCAGTCATGTGCCGTGCTTCTAGTCAAGAGCTACACAGAGGCAGCCTCTGCCCTCTGAGCCTTCTGCATTCAGGCTCCTTCACTGTCATTCGCTGTCTCAGGCAAGGTCAGTTTGGCTGCAAGTGTTAGAAATACACTTGAGCTTCCTGAAACGTAAAGGGTCCTGTTGGTACAGAATCATGGGCATCCTTTGGAGCTGAGAGGTATGTGATGGCTGTGGACCTAAGAGGACCTGGTAGCTGAAGCTGTTAAGAGCTGGGGTGGCCAGGCTGGGCGCAGTGGCTCACACCTGTAATCCCAGCGCTCTGGGAGGCTAAGATGGGTGGATCTTGATGTCAGGAGTTCAAGACCAGTGTGGCCAAGATGGTGAAACCCCTTTACTAAAAATACAACTAGCCAGGCATGATGGTGGGTGCTTGTAATCCCAGCTACTTGGGAGACTGAGGTAGAGAATTGCTTGAACTCAGGAGGCAGAGGTTGCAGTGAGATGATGAGAGGTTGCAGGGAGCCAAGATTGTGCGATTGCATTCCAGCTGGGGCGACAGAGCGAGACTGTCTCAAAAAAAAAAAAAAAAAAAGCTGGGTTGCCCACAGCTTGCTTCTGCCTCGTTAGCCTCCATGCAGCTGGGTCTGTCCCGTGCCTCCTCACGCTGACCCAGCGCAGCGTGCCACAGGCCCCAGCTTTACACTCAGTCCTGGATGAGTCTCTGTTTCGGGGTGGGCACATCTGACTGGCTCAGTAATGGGCCTGGGCCCAGGGTCCTGTTCCTCAAGCATGCTTATTGAGGACTGAATCCTGCAAAGCTGAGTGACAGTTGTCAGAGAAGAAGAAGATGGTCCCTGGGCAGACAGCCAGGCAGTAGTAGCCACTCGGGGCTCCTGTCCTGCCTCCCAGCCCTGTGTCCTCGCTCTGGATTCGACTGTGGTAGGGAGACCACACTCGGCTGCTGAGCCTCTGAGCTTACCAGGCATGTTCTTAGCTTACTCTGGTCTCTGGGGTGGAGTGGGTTCTTATACCTCTGTTGTTTCCTGTCATGGTGGGAGAATTCTGGAATCTTAGAGTCTCTCCAGAATCTCAGAATCTTGTAGTGCAGTTGGCATTCACATTTTTTGTTGGCGTTAGCCAATAATATCTTGACTTGGTGCACCCGCAGAAATACTACAACCTAAAGCTTGAGGAAACAGTTTTTTCTGTGTAGTAAGTATATTGTATATTGTGCTGTTTTGTTTCTTAAGCTGTTGGTTGCAACCCATCAGATTGATGATGTGACTCACTGCTGGTTCATGACCTGGAAAGAGGAAAAGCTAGTCTAGCTGCCCTGTGCCTGTGACATGGCAGGTGCCTGGCCCACTGCCTGCTTCCTATATGAATGTCTCCCTGGTGTCCCCACAGCCTCTTTGCTGTACACAACTCAGCTCTGCCTCTCGGAAGCTTTTCCAGGCAGTGTGGGATGGAGGAGCGCTTGAGAAGGCAGGTTCTGCAGCAGACGGCAGTGACAGCCCAGTTCTTCACCTTCCTTGCTGTGGGCCAGTGACTTGATCAGAGATCCTTTCCCCATCAGAACAGTGAGGTTATCATCTGTGCCTTGGGGCTGTTCGTTTATTCACTTGACACATACGCATCCACCTTTCTACACTAGCTGCAGCGCCACCTGCTGGTACCGTGAGCAAGAGCCAAGCGCGTGCGCGGTCCGGCGGCGCCTTGCAGTCTGAGAGGCAGGTAGGGGTGGACTCAGACAGGTAGCAAACCTGAAACTCCGGGGAAAGGAAGTGTTTTTCTGCAACTGTGAGTATGTAGAATGGCCAGGAACGGCTTCCCGAGGAAGGGATGCTTGGGTTAGCCTTAAGGGTGAGCGGGAGTTCACCAGAGAAGGAAGGGGAGGCCGGTCCAGGGCGAGGAGAATGCGCAGACACTGTGGTAGGAAGAAGGTGAGCGCGGACACTGGGAAAGGCCTGGGACACGCAGAGCCAGCGGCCCCGGCAGGGCCTGCTCTTGCTGCCTCTACCACCAGTTGACGGAATTTGGACCTCAGGCTGGGGGATGCCACCAAAGGCTTTCAAGCAGAGCACATTTTCTGGTGGAGAGATGATTGGCCTGGGTTTTGTGTGAGGGTGAGGAGGATTGGGAGCGTTTTGAGAAGCCTGTGAAGTGCACTTTGGGGTCAGAGGTGGGTTCCAGTAACAGCTGTTTCCCAGCGAACGCTCTGTGTGGGTTACTCAGTGTCGGCAGACGTGGTTGTCTTGTGATGGGAGTGCCTGAGATGAACTGCACGGGAGGGACCTGGCCCTGGGAACACTAAGCCAGGGCTGCCTTCCTGCCCTTTGCTCTCAGAGCTGCCTATTTCCGCTCCTCTGGGCCCTGCCCCTGCCTAGACTCACCCTCTGTCCGTCTGCCCTGCCCCAGGAGGAGGCCTCGGTGGTACCAGAAGAGGAGGGGCTGATGTGAACATCCGGCATTCAGGCCGCGATGACACCTCCCGCTACGATGAGAGGTAAGATTGGGCGACCGGTGTCCTGGGGCGGGGGGCGGTCACGGGGGAGCCCGATCACACAGGTCTGCCCACCTCATCCAGGCCCGGCCCCTCCCCGCTTCCGCACAGGGACCGGGACCGGGACCGCGAGCGGGAGCGCAGAGAGCGGAGCCGGGAGCGAGACAAGGAGCGAGAACGGCGACGCTCCCGCTCTCGGGACCGGAGGAGGCGCTCACGGAGTCGAGACAAGGAGGAGCGGAGGCGCTCCAGGGAGCGGAGCAAGGACAAGGACCGGGACCGGAAACGGCGAAGCAGTCGGAGCCGGGAACGGGCCCGGCGGGAGCGGGAGCGCAAGGAGGAGCTGCGTGGAGGCGGTGGCGACATGGCGGAGCCCTCCGAGGCGGGTGATGCGCCACCTGATGACGGGCCTCCAGGGGAGCTCGGGCCTGACGGCCCTGATGGTCCAGAGGAAAAGGGCCGGGATCGTGACCGGGAGAGACGGCGGAGCCACCGGAGTGAGCGTGAGCGGCGCCGGGACCGGGATCGTGACCGCGACCGTGACCGCGAGCACAAGCGGGGGGAGCGGGGCAGTGAGCGGGGCAGGGATGAGGCCCGAGGTGGGGGCGGCGGCGGCCAGGACAACGGGTTGGAAGGTCTGGGCAACGACAGCCGAGACATGTACATGGAGTCCGAGGGCGGCGACAGCTACCTGGCTCCGGAGAATGGGTATTTGATGGAGGCTGCGCCGGAGTGAAGCGGTCCTCTCCACCTGCTGTGATTGGACGCGTTCCTGCCCCACCCCCTTGCTGTCATCCCCTCCCCCAACCTTGGCCACCTCAGTTTGTCCTCCAAGGGTAGGTGTCTCATTTGTTCTGGCCCCTTGGATTTAAAAATAAAATTAATTTCCTGTTGCTACTGGGCACCTTGGTTCCTTCACTGCTCCGTCTTCCCCGCAAGGTTGTCCCTGACTCGATAGCCCTACTTAGTTTGGTTTCCCGGGCGTAGTTACAGCTTGAGGCTGGCTGTGCCCGGTAGCCAGAGCTGTTGAAAGTGGGGTGAGGAGGCCTCTCTAGGGCTCCTTGTCGCCCTTGTGTTTTTCACCCTCTTTTTTTTTTTCCACCTTTTCCACACATTCCTCAGAGCTGACCATACCCCTGCCTTGGTGGGGGCAGGGATTTAGGAGGGGACTCCTTTACTCAGGGGAAGCAGCAGTTTTGAATGTGAACACACCTTGCGGGTGAGATGGGGTGGAGCAGGAAGGGTGGGCGGGGCCTCACATACTTCGTAGTGACAGGAATAACGAACAGAAACACAGAAGAGGTTCCACCAGCAGTTGAAATTTCAAGCAGATGCCTGGACAAAAGATTAAAGACAGGGTGGTGAGGACACTTGAGTCTGGTGAGTGCTGAGAAGCCAGTCCACCCTGCAGAACCCTAGAGGGTCAAGGCTGCAGCTGCAGGAGAGCGAGGGTGGGAGGCCAGAGGCAGAGCTCTGTACAGCTGGCCTCCCTGTTGGCACTCAGGATGCCTGGGAGCTGGGCCGGGGGTGCCAAGGCAAAGCCAAGTTCAGACGTGTTGGTGTCTCTCAGAAGCGTCTCAGCCTGATAACTCAAGAGGGTCTGTGACTGGCACGCAGAATTGCAATCTGCTTTTTAATGGCTTCAGTTTAACCAACTAAGGATACTCAGACATTTGAGGAAAAACAGAGACCACAAGATAAACAGAAAAACTGATCTTGGAAGAAATGACTTAGGAATAAAAGAACTTGATATCTCTAATTAGTATATTTCATAGAGATCCCAGATACTGCAACTACGGACTTCTAGTACTGGCTACAAAAAGCCCATTGTGGACTAACATGGTTACATAAAGGCTGGGCAGTAGACAGAAACTTAGGAAAGGTGCTGTAGAGCAGCCGCTTTGATGAGGCTTGAGGGGGTGTGGTCTGTAAGCACACAGGTGTGTTTCACGCTTACCCTTGCCTTTTCCTTGAGGATGTTTTGCCATTTAGCATGGGGAAGAGACGACCAGGCAGGACTGACTTCCACTGGGCCAAGTTCACAGAGGTTCAGCCAGGCAGCTGGGACTGACAAAACGGGAGAGGAGGGCACTGAGCTCCCAAATCTCCTCGCACCTCCCCAGACGCATTCACCAACTCAAGCTGCTGACTGTCATTGCAAGACCCCCAGGAAACTCATCAGAATGCAGTAACTGGGAGGCCAAGGAACTGACTGCCGGGAGATTGCAGCAGCCATGCTGTTCTGGGCCCACCGTGGTGGAATGACCCTGCTTGAGATGCCCAGGGTGCCTGAATATCAGAGTAAGGCCACAACAGGGAATCAGGCTAAGAGGCCAGGCATGCTGGCTCATGCCTGTCATCCCAGCACTTTGGGAGGCAGAGGCGGTCGGATCACTTGAGGCCAGGAGTTAGAGACCAGCCTGGCCAACATGGTGAAACCCCATCTCTACCAAAAATACAAAAATTAGCCAGAGGCTACGCACCTGTAGTCCCAGCACTTTGGGAGACTGAGATGGGCAGATCACCTGAGGTCAGGAGTTTGGGACCAGCCTGGCCAACACAGCAAAACCCCATCTCTACTAAAAAATACAAAAATTAGCTGGGCGTGGTAGGGAGCGCCAGTAATCCCAGGTACTCGGGAAGCTAAAGCACGAGAATCGCTTGAACCTAGGAGGGGGAGGCTGTGGTGAGTGGAGATCGTGCTACCTCACTCCAGCCTGGGTAACAGAACAAAGACTTTTGTCTCCAAAAAAAAAAAAAAAAAAAAAAAGGCTGAATATGGTGGCACAGGACTGTAATCCTAGCTACTTGGGAGGCTGAGGCAGGAGAATCGGTTCAACCTGAGAGGTGGAGGTTGCAGTGAGCAGAGATCACGCCACTGCACTCCAGCCTGGGCAACGGAGTGAGACTCCGTGTCAAAAAATACAAATAGGCAGGCTAAGAAAGCCTAAAACCAGACTTTGTCAGGAATCGGGCAATCTGCCAGTCAGAAGAAAACTCTGAAAGAAGATAAGCATTCTGAGCCTCCACATGTACTATTTTTATACCCATTACACAGCATCTACTCAAAAGTTACCAGGTTTGTTAGAAAGGAATTAATTTGCTGAAAACCGAGAGGCAAACAAAATAGACAATAGAAAGAAACCCAGGGGTGATTCAGATGATGGAGTTATCAGAGCTATGATATATTCAGAAAATAAGAAAAAGATGTGGAGAATGTTAAGATATCTGGAATCTAGCTACCTGAGAGGCAGAGGTAGGATTCCAGGATTCCTTAAGCCAAGGACTTTGAGATTGCAGCGAGCTATGATCACACCACTGCACTCTAGCCTGGGTGACAGACAAAGACACCATCTCAAAAACAAACAGGCACAGTGGCTTACCCTGTAATCCCAGCACTTTGGGAGGTTGAGGTGGGTGGATCACGAGTTTAGGAGTTTAAGACCAGCCTGGCCAACACAGTGAAACCCCATCTCTACTAAAAAATACAACAACATTAGCTGGGCATGGTGGTGCGTGCCTGTAGTCCCAGCTACTTGGGAGGCTGAGGCAGGAGAGTCACTTGAACTGGGAGGTGGAGACTGAAGTGAGCCCAGATCGTGCCACTGCACTCTACCTTGAGCAACTGAGTGAAACTTCGTCTCAAAAAAAAAAAAAATCTCGAATCTGACACCAAAAATATGGCAATTCTAGAACTGGAAAACATAATTGGAATTAAAAAGTAAGTGGTGGCCAGGCATGGTGGTTCATGCCTGTAAACTCAATACTTTGGGAGGCCAAGGTGGGAAGATCACTTGAGCCCAGGAGATGGGAGACCAGCCTGGGCAACATGGCAAAAGCCTGGTCTCTATAAATATTAGAAAAACTAGCCAGATGTGGTAGCGTGTGCCTATGGTCCCAGCTACTCAGGTGGCAGGTGGAAGGATTACCTGACCCCAGGGAGGTCGAGGCTGCAGTTAGCCATGATCACACGACTGCACTTCATCCTGGACAGCAAGATGAGACCCTGTAGCAACAACAGCAAAAAAAAAAAAAAGAATTTAGTAGTTGATAAGACTAGATAACCTGGAGTCTTCCTTAGAAATACTGGGAAAGATTGGCGTGAACAAACTTTCTTGAAAGGGACATCTCACAGCCTCTTTACGAGTAACTGAAGCCATACTTCACTAAAATGAAGGACTTACAATAGGAAACTGGATGTACTTCAGGAGACAAGTGGAGGGAAGTCCCCGGATGGCAGTTTCTAGAGAGCAATTGGTTCAGCGTGGGGTGAGAGAACTAAAGTTTCCCAGAAGTTTAGGGGAAAGATGATAAGAGCAGAAAATCTGTAATCTAGTACATCTAAATTGATCAATCAAGGACCAGGCTAAGTGGCTCATGCCTGTAATCCTAGCACTTTGGGAGGCTGAAGTGGGCGGATCACTTGAGGTCAGGAGTTCAAGACCAGCCTGGCCAACATGGGGAAACCCCTTCGCTACTAAAAATATAAAAATTGGCCGGGCGCGGTGGCTCACGCCTGTAATCCCAGCACTTTGGGAGGCCGAGGTGGGTGGATCACGAGGTCAAGAGATCGAGACCATCCTGGTCAACACGGTGAAACCCCGTCTCTACTAAAACTACAAAAAATCAGCTGGGCATGGTGGCGCGTGCCTGTAATCCCAGCTACTCAGGAGGCTGAGGCAGGAGAATTGCCTGAACCCAGGAGGCGGAGGTTGCGGTGAGCCGAGATCGCGCCATTGCACTCCAGCCTGGGTAACAAGAGTGAAACTCCGTCTCAAAAAAAAAAAAAAAAAAAAAAAAAAAAAAAATTATATATATATATATATATATATATATAAATTAGCTGGGCGTGGTGGTGGGCACCTGTAATTCCAGCTGCTAGGAGGCAGAGGTAGAAGAATCACTTGAATGCAGGAGGTGCAGGTTGCAGTTAGCTGAGATTGCGCCACTGCACTCCAGCCTGGGCAACAGCGTGAGACTCCATCTCAAAAAATAAAATACCAGGTGCGGTGGCTCACGCCTGTAATCCCAGCACTTTGGGAGGCCAAGTCGGGTGGATCATGAGGTCAGGAGTTAGAGACCAGCCTGGCCAATATGGTGAAGCCCCATTTCTACTAAAAATACAAAAAATTAGCTGGGTGTGGTAGTGCATGCCTATTGTCCCAGCTGTTTGGGAGGCTGAGGCAGGGGAATCACTTGAACCCGGGAGGCGGAGGTTGCAGTGAGTTGAGATTGCCCCACTGTACTCCAGCCTGGGCGAAGAGCAAGACTCTGTCTCAAAAAAAGTAATACATAAGACATAGCATGTTACTTAGAGAAGCAGCTCTCAGACAAAATATCTGTAAGTTCCCTCTCGCAGTGAGTAAGAGGTACAGAAGCTGCTGCTTCTCCCTATTGGCCCGTCTGTGTTATTTGATTTTTTTTTTTTTTTTAAAGAGGGGTTTCACCATCTTGGTCAGGCTTGTCTTGAACCCCCGACCTCAGGTGATCCGCCCGCCTTGGCCTCCAAAGTGCTTGGATTACAGGCGTGAGCCAGCGCGCCCGGCCTTGATTTTGTTTTTAATCCCATGAACACATTACTTTTTGCTAAAGAGAGAAATAGAGGGAATGAGACAGCCAGACAAACCTGCTCTAGTCCTCCCACTTGGAACAAGCCCTTTTCTGGACTCCATATCGCCACCCAGTGGAACCAAAAGAGCAGCAGCCAGACTTCTCCAAAGCCTTGTCCCACATCTGGGCCTCTCCAGCATGATACCACTGACCACTTCCTCTTTATTAAAACACTCTCAGCCGTGCACAGCGGCTCATGCCTGTAAACTCAGCACTTTGGGAGGCCGAGGCAGGAAGATCGTTTGAGCCTAGGAGTTCAAGACCAACCTAAGCAATGAAGACCCCTCTAAAA